GTAAGTCAACACCAAGTTCCCGCTTTGCTGGAACTAGAGCCTTTCGCGGCGGCGGCCCCGCCTTTCTCAGACAGATAAGCCGCAACCCGCAATTACACAGCCTTTGAACGCGCGTGGGAAAAGCAGTGGGTAATGACTTAATACATACAGGGTTTCTTCGGTGCTCCCGAGTCTTTCAAACCACGGGGTCCCCGGGAGGCAGACAGTAGGAGAGCTGGAATCACAGGCTCCCGGGCATAGGCTATATTAAAAAAATAAATAAATTTGTTAACCAGTGTTAACACAAAAAGCGAATGTATATATTGCCAATCAGGGCAGCTTTACAAAATGCATGGGCTGTGTTTTTATTTATTATTTTATTAATTTATGTATTCTTTTTTATTTTATTATTATCGACACTATTACATAGGCTGAGTATTAAATCTTCCCTCTCTTTATTCTTTATTGCTCTGAGCTGGCACTGTCTTGGGCACTTTCTGCCATCTATTCTAAGAAAGTCACTGGCTGCTGATCCTAAGGCCTTTAAGGTAATGAGAGGGAGGGAGAGAGAAGTGGGGGGAGAGAGATGGGACGTATGGAGAGACTCCTGCCTCTCCCTGTGTCCAGGAGTAATCCTTTCATGTTTCACCTCCAGGGACAGTGTGACCCCATAGGCCTCTCCCAGCTAGCTTCTCACTACAACTCATTACACACTTACTACGTGTCAGCCACGGACATTGCCTAACTTACTTTTCACATGGGATAGACATAATATTATTTCCATTTTATAAAAGTTGTACTGGGAATCAGAGAAGTTAGGTAATTAGCCAAGGCCACACAATGGCAGGTGTCAGATTTGAATGCCGCTCTGTCTGACACTGTTCCCGCCAAGTCCCACTGCCCTTCTGGGCTGCAGGAGGGGATGGCGCTCGAATTTTGTGCTTTTGACTAACTGGGCATGAAGAGCTGCCCCTAAGGTGAGCAAAGCGCTCCGTAGACATTTCAGGGGACATGAGATGAAGAGGACAGGAGGGCCTGGGGGCGCGCTGAGGTGACCCTAGGGCATCTGGAGGGCTGCAGATGACATCATAGAATGTCTCTCCCTTCCAACCCCACAATCCGGGAGTTTGTCACATCTGGCTCCTGAAACTACAATAGTTATTGTGGCATTCCACCTCCCAAGGCCAACTGTTGGGGGCATTCCAGCACCTGGACCTTTGTCCTTGCGGATCAGGGATGCAGGAAGTTCTAGCTGAGCAAACTTAGGCGGTCTCTAGATGAGGTTTACTCTAAGTCCGCAGGTGCCAGAGCTGGGGGAGGTTGGCCAGTTACCTTGCTTAGCCCCCAGCCCGCCTCCATCATTCCCTTGCAGTGTTCCTAAAAGTGGTTAGTACCCCTCTGTTAAAACGTTCAACTCTAGTGAGACACTGATTCTTAAGCAGAAAAACAGGGCAAATGCAACCTAATTGTATTTCTAGTCTCTGGGCACTAGCAAAGAGGCTCTGCTAACATTTCTTACCGTGCAGGCATCACCTGGCTGCTGCCCCAGGGTGGGCAGGAATTTGCCGGGCAGCAGCCTGTGCACCCAGACCTTCAGCACCCCACCCCTCACCGCCCCTGAACACGGTGAGCTCAGAGCAGCTTTCTCCAAAGAGTTTCAAGCAAATACTCATTAACCTCCTAAGCAGGGGCCACACCCCATGTCATCAGCCCTTACTCCTTGGTGGGAGAAATCTTAAATGAGAATAATAACAGCAAGTACAGGCACCTCAAATTAAATAAAAGCATAGAGATCTTGAGAAAGAAATTAGTCTTTCTAGGCAAGGGCTTAAAAGCAAGAGAAAATCCCCACCAGCCAACCCTAAAATAGCATTTTATTATAGCACCAAAACATAGACGTGCAGCACCAGGGATGACTAAACACTCACAAGTGTCCCCTGACTTGAGTCCCACCCCAGGAGATGAGAGTCAAGTAATCATTGCGTGGTTTGCAGTCTGATTAGAAATGAGCAACCCCAGCCACAGAAATGGACTCCATGCACAAATTCTGCCTCCCCACATACCTTGGGCTCTCTCTGGGAGCGTGCCTCTGGAGCCACGGGCCACACTGTCCTCCAGCACACACACCCTCTTGGCAGCCAGGCCTGCCCAGCTATGTAGGAGCAGGAGAGGGAGTGGCATTCCTGCCTCTCCCCAAATACGGCAGCCTTCCCTCCCTGGCCAGACCAATCAGGAGCTCCCGGGCACTCCTTTGTCCTGAGAAGGATGGAGCATCTCATCACTTTCTACTAATAAGCATCACGTGAAGATCTTGGTGAAGTTCAGCAAAACTTGAGTTGCCTTTTATTTTATTTATGCATTTAGTTACTATTGTCAGTTTATTATAAGGGATAGAGGTAAACAGCCAGATGTAGAGAGAGGTGTAGAGGGCAAGATCTGGAAGCATTCCAAATGCAGAAGCCCCAAAGAGTTTGGGGTGCACCGCCCTCCTGGAATGTGGATGAGTTCACCAACCTGGGAGCTCTTCGAACCCCACTGTACCAGGAACTGGGGACAAAACCCAAGTATTATAACAAAAGCTGCTCCTATCACCCCTACCACTCAGGAAGTTACAATGTTGTAGAAGCTCTGTGCCAGGAACTGAGGCTAAAGATCAGACATATATTTCTTACTATATGACAGTGTCCCAGCTGGACAGATGGATGGGTGCATCTGTCTGAAGAGTCCAGTTGGGGCTATTTTTAAGACTGGTATTTTAAGAGGTGTCCTTTAGAATGGAAATGAAGTGTTAGAAGGGAAATGCTGTCTCATCAATATCTACAACAGAGGGTGGTTTAAACAGGCCTTGCTCGATATGCATACTGACCTGCACCTTACAACCAGCTTCAGAGAGCAAAGGGGCCTTTTCTGGGCACCCATTGTGGGAAGGGTCGCGTCAGGAAGAGGGCGAGTGTTCAGCTGGACGACATGCCTGCTAACCTGAACTCACAGGGAGCAAGGGGCAGGGCTTTTATTGGGTAGTGGGAAAAACAGGGCCACTGGTGGGTGGAAGGCCAAATCAGAGGACTTCCCAGCACTTTGGGCTGCTGAGGTCATGTGGGAAAGTTTGAACCACTGAATTAGGTCAACGAGTCGAAGATCTGTGGCAACCCAGGGAACAGAGACAGATGGAGATGAAACCAACACAGTTTAAAGATGGAGGGGGCTGAGAGTGAGTTCCTTCAGGGTGCCTCTGTCTCTACGTGATGCCTTGTGTAACCAGGAGGTGAGCTGGGGAATCAGTCCCTCGGGACATAGGGACTGTGCATAGATATGGGGTGACCACTCCTTATAAAAAGGGTTTTGTTTAGGTGTCCCTGTTACGATCATTACTGCAACTCAAAATAAAAAGTGAATTGTGGAGATGTGCATGGAGATTTGCCTGTAAACAAAATATGATCTTCAGCCCGAATGTGGCTCCGTTTATGTCTCCAGATTTGCCTCAAAGCCCTTTTGCCAACCAAATTAAAGGACTGCTTCTGGGCCGACCAGCAGATGGTGCTAGAAGAGCTTACAAAGACTCTTCGCCCAAGAGGTAGGAAACCCCATAGCTAACGTTGTCTTTGCAGAGCTGCTGTGCTCTAGTTAGATTTGGGGCCTCCAGCTGGAACTTTCTTTCTCCTCTGCCTTTACTTTTTCCATTTTATTTCGTTTTCCTCTTCAAAGAAAATACACACACCACTTTACCATTTTTATCTAGAATCAGATTTTTGGTCTTGTGAACACATGCACAAACACAGTAGTGCAAACTTAGTATAAACTACTTGCAAAATGCAGAAGAAAAAGAAAAAAGATCTTTTAATATTTTGCCACCCAGGGACAAGTGTCAGTACAATTTTGTTCATTGCGTAGATGCTTAGGGTC